CGGGCGGCCCCGGGAGGCGCGCTGCGCTCCCCAACGCCATTGCGGGCGGGCGGCGGCCCGGGCCGCGACACGCTCGCCCACTCGGGCCGGCCCGGGGAGGGGTTCGGGGCGCGGAAGGGGCTTGGCCCACGTGCGGTCACCCGCTGCGGGCCGTTTGGGCCGCCCGGGAGCCAGGGTGTAGTGGGAGAGAGGCCGCGGGGGTGAGGAAGGCCCAGGGTAACAGGTGCCTCACCTCGGCTGATGGGATTAACTCTAGGGCCGCAGAGAGAGGGAGCCCGGCAGCAAAATCCCAGGAGAGGGAGAGAGAGGGAGCCTCTGGCGGCCAACCGAGGGCGAAAAGCACCGGCCCGAGGCGAGGCCGCCCCACCCCCTCGGCCGTGGGCTAGGGGCCTCCCCGGCCTAGGGCAAGGCCTGCCCTTCTGGGGCCCGTCCGCCTTTCTGCTACCGGGGTTGGTTCGGCAGAAACTGGGCTCTTGGTCCGCTTGCTACTGGGCCTGCACAAAGTATGCAGTTAACTTCATGACCCCAGGGCATCTAAAACCCCAGGCTACTCTCCAGGCCGGTTTGGCCCACACCTAGGCCGCCTTGCTGGCGTAACACCCACCTTGACCTCAAATCTCCATTGTTAAAAGGAAAAGGATTAGGAGGTCTTCTGACTTGCTCAGCCCCACCCTCCTCTTTTATAAATGCTCAGTGCCCACTCCTACCTCCTCCCTAAAAAGATACCCCAAGTGTCTTTTTTGCGGCAATGTTTATGAAACTGATCATGTCTGTCAATGTAGATCTTTAAGCCAATCCTCCAAAAACTCCATAGAGTAAAAACGACTAAAGGACAAGTTTTCAAGAGGGTAAACCATAACTCTCATAGAAATATAAAATGAAAGTGTGTCCAAAATGCCATTTGGCACATTAATTAGGGAGGGAATCGCAAGATACTACAACCCATTCAAACAAGGATGTGGAAAAGAGACCGTTAGGGACAAACAGCAAAGAGAGAAGACTGGTTAATATTCTATAAGGCACAAAAAATTAATGTTTTGAATTATCTGTTCTACAGGGCAGTAATCAATTGTATCTCTAAACAAAATAATTTTGCATTCCTATAGATAAGAACATTTACATTACCATAAGTTTCTACAACCTACAGAATAGTAAAATGGCTTTGTCGAAGGCCAAAGGTGCAGACCAAAGGTGTAGAACCAAAAACTCAAAGTCCCGTAGATAACATCCAGCCTTCCATTGAAAGGACACCTAGTGATATTCGCCCATTTCAAAGTCTTACACCAGTTTTCCCAACAGAACTGTTATTATCTGCATTTTCCGGATGGGAAAACTGAGGTTTAGGTTTTATAACTTACCCACAAGTTTATCAACTAGTAAATAATTAAAGTCTGATAAGAACTCCAGCAAGTCTGTATACAGAATCTCTACTCTGGGGGCAAAATCTCTTGCTTAATTTCAAAAGGCCTTTGTAGCTACTCAATTCTATGTATCTTTCATTTTGAACAGTGAAATTTTTTCAAGTTTCACCAAATTCTGGGTGCTTTCCCAAGAAATTGGCACTCTCTGTCTACAAGTGGATGTCACTTCTATAAGCATAAACAGATGTAGCAGGCAACGTGAGGGGGCTGTGGTTCTAGTCTCCACTTTTGGAAAGAACATTTGTGCTGTCTGGGATAATTTAGTGGAAAAGTTCCTGTCACTTATTTGCAGTATGGAAACCATGTTTTTTAGGAGAATAACCTAAATAAATGCAAGAACCTAATCACTGAGTTCTGTCTGTAGAAGAGGGGGCAGAGTTGGCAATAAAATCAGTCTTACACCTCTTTGCAAAAAGATGATTCATACAGAAAAGCAGCCTAAAGAATTTGGTTGCTTTGGGTTTCTTTCTTTCTTTCTTTTTTTTTTTTTTTTCATGTGAACCTTCTGGAAAAATTCATAATACTGAAGGAATGAATGACAGTTTTTAAAACATCATGCTGATAATTTTAAGATTTCTGGATTGCCCATAATCTATTTTACATTTCTAACACATTTCTGAATGTTTCAAGGGTCTACTAGCTCAGTACTAATCCAATAAATGTGGCTATTTAAATTAACTAAAATTAAATACAATTAAAAATTCAGTTTCTTAGTCCCACTAGTCACATTTGAAGGACTCAGTAGCTATAAGTGGTTAGTGACTACCACGTTAGATGGTGTAGATACAGAACATTTCCATTACAGAAATGTCTTTCAGACAGCGCTATCCTGGACA